ACCAACATTGACACCAATGATTGTACGTAGACATCTATGATAAAAAGTCATAAGACGTCTTTCTTGTGCCACCGTTAAAATCCACACCTCACTGCCATACACCAAGACTGGAATGACACAGGCCCGAAATATTCTTAGCTTCGCTTGGATGGAGATTGTCTTTCTGGACCATATTGTGTGACGTAACATATTAAAAGCTCTTGCTGCTTTTATTGTTCTTGTTTCAATTTCTTTTTCCATTGTCTGATCTTTTGTAACATGGTAGCCAAGATATGTAAACTCTTCAACATTTTTGATCATTTGATTCCGTATTGAAATGTTGTTGTTTGTTGTATTAACTTGTTGATTTTTGATAGTTCGTCGAGTCGAATCTTCTTGTAATTGTATAAGTGACATGATACATGTTTTCTTTACATTCATTAATAGGCCAAATTGTTGAGTTACATTTTCAAAAGTTTTGATAAATCGTTCGAGATCTGTGTTGTTGTCGCACATTACCACTACATCATCAGCATATAATAGGGTTAGTATATTTGGGTGTGGGTGTGGGTGTGGGTGTGGGTGTGGGTGTGGGGTGTGGGATGTGGGTGTGGGTGTGGGTGTGGGTGGGTGGGGGTGTGGGTGGGTGTAGGTGTGGGTGTGGGTGTCGGTGTGTGTGTGGGCGTGAGATGTGAGTTTAGGATGTGGGTGGTGTGGCTGTGTCGGTATGGATGGGTGTGGGTTGTGGGTGAGTGTGGGACTGGGTTTTAGTATGGATTAGGATAGAATAGTCACCCACACCCACACCCACCACCCCGCCTTTAAGAAATCAAAGAAGCCATATATGCAGAAAAAATTTATTTCTTTTAAATGTTTTTTCATAAAATTACATTTGATACTGAACTACTTCATTTGGAACTTGATCAGTTAATCTTTCGGAAATGTCACGTTCGACTGATGATATAAATGAATCATTGTCATCAGCTATCTCTTCTGCACCAAATTCCATAGCCATTTCTTTAAATCTCGCAATGCACTTGTTCCATATAGTAATATATTGTTCATCTACAATTTAAAGAAACAGGCACTTTCGAATATAGATTTCTTAAAAACCTACCTTGACAATGTTCACTAATTTGTTGTTTAATATAGAAAATACTATCTTGAAAAGTTTTTTCATTTGATTCAAGTACATATACTAGTGTACCACAATGAATTGGAATTTTTTCATCATCACGTTTACCTATCATAATATTAAATCCTTGTTTAATTACAAGACAAAAACCAACATCAGGTCGATAAATAATACCAGCATCAATAAATGAATTATCTTCTGTAATATTCCATATTACATTAATTCTGTGTATCGATTTAATAACATCCAACATTACAGCACCTCCTCGTAATCCTGAAATGGAATTGTCTTTGATTAATGTTTCTGCTACTCGAATCAACGGTTTTTGAAACTTTTGTTTGAGTTCACTATTACATCCTCCCAACATATAAAAATGACTAAAGGAAAAGAAAAGTGAGATTATGAATATGAATGTGATCGTTAAATAAACGAGCCAAACGAACAATCATTAAAATTGAAATTTTACTCACCTAATGACTGATTGTTCTCCTTTAGATGAAATAATATGATCAACAATACTTTCATACAACTTCATTGCATCATTATTATTGCCTTTTCTACATAAATGACTATCGGCACGATGTTCGATTAAGGTAGAATTATCTTTGAAAACGATATTTATTATACAACATTCATTAGCTCGTTTTGATGCGAGCTCACCATATGGTGATATCGCATAGCGGTCTTGTAGAACATTGTATATTAAACGAGAACTCATAATTAATACAAACAAGTTCTATCTGAAGAAATATTACTCTATATGAGTTATATAAAATTAGATACTAAAATAAAAGTGGATTGTTTATCGCATACGAAACTGATTTTTCTTTTCATTCTTTGTCTACTTAGTTGTGTATATACACGTGGCAGACAGCTTGACCTCTACCACATGCACAAGACCTAGATTATTGTAAAGACATTCCTTATTAGCGTAAAAATTTTTCTAACTTTCACAGCAGATCTTTTGACTCGATAGAAGAACTGGAAATAGCAATCTATAATGTGAATTGCGTACGATTACATCAAATTTTGGAAGGAAATGAGGACTTGATCATAGATCAAATGTTAGCCATAAGAAAAAAAAACTTTTGTTGCTAATTGCAATTCTTTTATTGTTTGAAAAACACTTGCTCGTGTTATTAAATAAGAACGTACATAAAACACAAATTTTCAGATTGAATTTTTCAAATAAAAGACATGATCAATATTTTATTTTCAACAATAGCCAGGCAAAGAAATGTATTCAACATATATGTGCAATTTGCAACAAAACGTTTATTGAAGAAACGATAATAGGTAAAATTTATATAATTATAAAAATAAAAATACAGTGAGATTGAATAAAAAAAAGCGCCGCTGCTAATAGAGTATATTCAATTCAATGTGACAACATTGTACATTTCTTGTGGTAAGAGGTCTTGAACAAAAATAACAACCTTCTTTTCTATGCACACTTAAACTTTTTCGATATCTCTTTGTTTTTATTTCGTGAGTTTTTCCTCATCTTTTTCTCCTGCATATATTGAAGAATTTAAAAATAATGTTTGCATAATGCAAAAAAAAGAATTGCAGAAACAATGAAGTTATATATGTGCGGTTGATGTTTGTTATGATCACACCAACTCAATGCAGTTACAATAATAATATTTGATCATTACCTCATTTCACTAGCCTATCTGATAGCATCTAAAGTGATTTATTATTATGAATATGATATTGTGTAAGTTTAGCTTCTCAAAGAGAAATTTACTTAATACAGAAAAATAAATGACAATCAAGTGATGATAAATGAATATTGATTTCAGGTAATATTAATTCATCATTAATAGTTCTTTGACAATGTTTTGAAATTTTACGTCAAAATCAAGCACAAGATACAAGCAAGGTAAACTTTATTTCCCGTTTCTAATTAAGAAAAAAAACCAACATTTTATTATATAGATGATATCATATCATCAATCAAAATGAACATCTTTTTTCAAAAGTTATTTTCATGATGAAGATCGAATACGAATAATTCTTTGTATGAAGATGAACACAATGAAATTGTCATGGATAATAACGAGTTGTCGGCACTAATCTATTAAAATAAAAGAAAATTCAATAATAAAAGATCAAAACATCAAATTCAAGATCATTATAGCTTTTTAAAAGCTGATCTCAATGTCGAATGAACATAATAAAATAATTTATGATAAATATTACATCTGATTGTTCCAATAATAAGTTCTGGAAGTGGATGAACAAGTTGTTGAATGAATTTTTCTTTATTATATATAATATATTGTTAGCTCGTTTCGTCGAGCGACCGATATATATTTATTTCACCAGAAAAAACATCTTATATATATAAAAAATGTCCTTGAAGTGCATAGTATAACAGAGAAAAGAAAAGAAAAGAAATAGTTGTACAACAACAAAGAGAAGAGAGAGAACGAAAGCATCGAGGGGTAGAACAGGTATCACCGTTAACATATATCAATAACATTTTTCCATAAACTAATTTTTTTCGTATGAATAGTTGTACGTAAATGAATAGCAAGTTGTTGAAGAAAAACAAAATCATGTTGATAAGTAACTGTTAGATCAAGTAAATAAAGTTCAACTAATGATTGTTGCATAAAATTCATATAGTAGCCATTGGCACCTTCTCCTCATAACCTTACTTGACCCTTGACCTTTGACCTGTGACCCGGACAGAAACATATTCACGCAGATATTGAACATTATATATATACATACATAAATAGCAAACATTAACTGGCCATGACGGTGATATAACTGCTACATATAAATAAATATTTTCTTTATAATTTTCGTATACGTAAAAAATCAACATGTACATGCTTTCTTAGATCCTCACTGTATTCTAAACAAAAGTCTTGAGAAAAATGAAAAAGTACGATCCAATCATTTTCGAGGGGAGGTGCGACCGCACCCACCGTATCCCCTCGATTCGCTCCTGTTCGTCGGAGTCCTAGAGCTACAAAAAAAAATTCGAAAAATTCCATAAATGGCTTGCAAATTCTTGTTCTTCACCCCTGAAAATCTTTGATCGAACTTTATAAAATATCGTTACTTTCGAAAAATTAGATTTTCATAGGGGTCCTAGAGGCAAAAATAATTTTTCGAAAAATTTGAGAAATGGTTCGTAAATTGTTATTCACCGTCCTTGAAAAACTTTGATGAAGCGTAATGACATATTGAGGACTGATGCATACCTCCATATGGTAGCTCCTGAGGATCCAGGAGTACCTCCATATAATACCGCTGGAGCACCTATGAGTACCTGCATATGGTAGCTCTTGAGGACCAAAAGGTACCTGCGTATAGCAGCTCTTGAAGAGCCAAGGGTATCCTCATATAATAGTGCTTCAAGACCTTGAGGTACCTCCATGTGGTAATCCTGAAGGATCCGTGGAAAGCTCCATACAATAGCTCTTGACGACCTATGGGTACTCCTATGTGATAGTGTTGGGACCTGCTTCGTTATATAGATAATTGGTCTTTAATCTTTGACCTGAAAATCTGATAGGCTGAAAAAATTGACCAATGGGAGAGGGACCAGATGTGACACTCGACATTATATACGTAGGGCACTACAAAAGTTTTTTCACTCGGCTCTTCTAAAAGCTTCAATTTGCATTGAAGTATTCTGTTATATTGCTTAGACATATTTAGGAATATATGCAAAATTTCAGACTTCTAAGTCTTGTACTTTGCCGCAATCTACCATTTCTTTTATGTGAGTAACGTACCATTTTCTATACGCTACATAAATGATGACTTATAATATATGACAGAACTTTGAATTTCATATTTTTATTCTTACAAACATTTTATGAAAATAAAAAGAAAATATACCAGAAGATGCAGCGTGAAAAGCTCTACAATCTACAATATAAAGCTTATGCTGATTGTATATTTTTTCTTTCAAAATAAACAGTATTCTGAGTGACCAATTCTCGACGTTGCGATAGATAGTTCAGAGAATTTTGATTTTACTTTCAAAATAAAAAGGACACAATTAAAATAAAACTGTTGTGTGTAAATTGTAGAGTTTTTCGAGCTGCATCTTGCCACATATTCGCTTTGTTTTTATAAAAATGTATTGGGTGACAAAAGGATGAAATACGAAAAAAGGACGTCTTCGTTCGTGTAGAATTTTTGCATACTAGAAGATTTCTCTCTCACAATTTTGCTTTTCCTTAATAACAAAAGTTGCATATATAATATGAACCGTTCCTTGTAAATTGTAGAATTTTTCACGCTGCATCTTGTGATGTATTTTGTTTTTTTCAAATAAAACATATCAGGTGATAAATAAGAAAAAAATTACGTTCATCGTATACGGAAAAGAAATGCTTTTCGCAACGTAAAATTTTGATCGTTCAGAATTTTGTCAATTTTCACAGTAAATAAATGCGACTGCAAAATAAGTTGTCTTTTGTAATTTGTAGAGCTTTTCACGCTGCATCTTATGATGTGTTTAATTTTTTGTTTAATAGAGGATATCAGGCAAGTCAAAGATGAAATAAGAAAAAAACGAATTCATCTTTTATCAATAAAATCTTGTTTTCGCAGAGTCGAAATATGATTGCTCAGAAGTTTATCGATTGTTTAACACAGAAAATGCAACTGTAAAATTAGTTGTTCTATATAAATTATAGAACTTTTCACGCTGCATCTTCTGATATATTTTGATTTTTTAATAAATCGTATTTAAGAATCAAAAAATGAAACACCAAGTTCTCGCATCAATGATGGATCATCCGTTAGCAGGTTGCATGAACCTACCATAAAAACAAAGACGGATCGCAGCGAACTACAAGATTTAGAAGTCTGAAACTTTGCATATAATCCTAAATATGTGCGAGCATTATAACAAAATACGTAAACTAAATCTGCGGCTTTTGGAAGAGCCAGGTCAAAAAACTTTTGTAGTGCTCCATGTATATAGATTGTTTTAACATTGAGTGAAATTGTTACGTAATTTTTGAATTGTCTCTATATCGAAAAAATCGATTGATGTATTGATTATGTATGAAAGTTGATTAATACTAGAATCATGTTCAATATTAAGAGAGAAATCATATTTATTTATAATTTTACTTCTGTCGATCTGATTCGAATAAAAAATGGTATAGATATGAACATTATCAATGAATGATGATTTCATTCTTAAAAGATTTATTTTGATTTGATTGAAATTCGAAGAATATATTGAGAAATAAAGGTTTTGAACAATTAGAATGTTGATCAAGAATGCATTAAAATGAAAAAATGAATATTCAAAACTATTTATTATCAAAGTTAGGATGCCCGCTTGCCTCTCTCCCCCTCTCGTGAGAAGAGTGTATATAGTTAAGTATATGACGCTTTGGATGAGTGAATAATATTCCCTTTATTGGAAAAAAACACGAAGTATATATAGGAAGAGAAAAGTGGACTAGTCAGGGAAGAAGTTGAGAGTTTCTTTGTCTGATTGAAAATGAACAACAAGTAGAGTTACAACAAAAGACGTCAGTGAAGAAGAATAGGTCAGACGGGTAAGAACATATAATAACAAAAGAAAAAAGAAATATGAAGTCATCCATATATCCTAACAATCAACTCTTCAATATAAGTGATAAGTTGATGAAAAGACTAATGAGGATCTAGTTCATATAGTAATAGAATTATATTCTCAAATATTTCAATTAATAATTTGAGTTCATCTTTGTATCGATTATGTATTTTTATTTTAACACAAAGATCTTTTTCTCTATTTGATAATTTGAATAAAAATGCATAATAACATGGAAGTGCAACATGTTCAAGTTCGATGATGAATGAGTAAGAAATGCTTGTGAAAGATATTCATCAAAATCAAAAGTAATAGATGTTCTAAGACCAGAATTATGTTCACTGTTGAGACGATATCGATCAAATGGTAATTGAAAAGATCGATCAAAATTGTAATTGTAAAGAGTATCATACCAAAACATATTTGCACCACTCATTGATATTTGTTGTTTGAATAACAGTATCTAAATAAGAAAAAAAAAGAATTATATGTAAGAGAAGAAAAATGTTTGTATATACAATGAAGATAGTTGAGAGTTGTGTCGTCATTATGAAATAGTTAACCTGTTGTATAAGCTTGATTGATATGATGAATAAATAGATTCATTGATGGAAAATAATATATAAGATGATGAAAATTGAAAATAATTAGATCTTTATTTTGAAGATATTTGTTTGTAATAAATAATATGACATGGAAATACTCGACCTTGAGAAAAATCGAAAAGTTAAGAATTTCATTTTTCATCATGCAATATATCAGGGTGATTCCACCGGATTCATACCACTTTTCTTGAACAGGTCTCCAATTAGTGTTTTGATTCGCTAGTTTATCTGATGAGAGTGTAAAAAGTTGATATAACACGAAGAAACCAAAATCACGAGCTGGCAACTTTGAGATTTTGTCAAAATGTGAGGTACATGTATAGCTAATTTCCATATAAAATTCGTGATTTTTTCAGAGAAAAATTTGAAAAAGTTCCTAGTAAATGTAGACGTTCCTCGTATTTTGACAAAATCTTAAAGTTGGCAGCTTGTGATTTCGATGTGTTTGTATTATATTAACTTTTCACGCTGTCATCGGATAAAGCAACATATTTTTAGCGATAGTCTTCGATTTTTTCCTAGCACAACAATGAATATTTCGTAAATCGACGCGTTTTCCAAAAAATGGTATAAACTCCATGGAATTACCCATCATTTAATTGTTCATCTGTTTCATAAATACTTTCGATAAATGTAAATAATCTATTATTGTTATTGTTGAAGTGAATGATTTGTTTCTGGATTGACAATGGGAGATGTTCGAAGTGATGAATGTTTATTCAGTATGAGTTGAAGAGCATGATGAAAGTGTTTGACTTAAAAAGTAGACGATGATGATGATAGATAATAAATAAATAGTATATTGTATATTGCTATTTGTGATTTGTCAAGATCAAATCGAATTCATTCATCCAACCAAATTCGAGTTTGAGTATATGATGTTGGTACTACAAAAAAAAAACATTATCGATTATAAGTACGGATTTTGATCTTTCATTGCGCTCTGAAATAATATCATATTGTCATCTATGGTACTCTTTTCTTCAACTGAATAATTGAATATTTCTATCATTTCTTTTTCGATGTTTCTAATGAAATAATATTGTGAAAGTCCAATATATGTGCATGATTTTATTACTAAACTGCTAGTGGTTATATATCGAACATATTTTGTTTTAAATTATTAACAATTTCTAAATATATTTGTTTCAGAAATGATCGAAAGATGCAGATACCTGAATCCTGAAAATTACCTATGGGACATTTAGTATTCTCATTTCCTTCATAACACATAGCCTGTTTGAATTCGTTTGTGAGAATTATTTTTAAGATGAAACATCCTTGGAAATGTGTAGAGCTGGAAAAATTGTATCATGAGAACATATATCATGTTAACTGAATACATGTATTTTGGCTGTTCACAATCTGAAAACTATGGATTCACCTATATTCACTTAAAAGACTATCGATTTTGATTGAGTTCTGAAAGCGTCATATCAAGAGTATGAGCATTGTTTAGATTCACATTCAAGAATTAAACGGTTTGTCACTACAGTTTATTCTCTATATCTACACACTAACAAAAGAGAATATGATCATTTTTCAGCAAAGTTAACCCTTTGTTCAAGTAGGAAATAAATTAAAAAATTTTGAAAAATTTTTTCAGTTAAGATATCTTATGGGAATACAAATTTTAATTAAATATTATCAGTATTTTAAGTGTTTGTCTTCGAATACTATTGAAAATAATAAATCCAATAATAGAACAAGAATATTAATCAATCTATCTATATCTTAAAATTATAGGACGATTTCTATTAGTAACTAAAATATCCTCAAAGTCTTCTTTGAAGAATCCGTTAAAAAGAAATCTCTTCAAAATTTTCTTTTAGTTAGACACATATAGTTTTGATAGTTTTCATTGACAATGAAAAGTAGAAAAGTTGTTTCTTTCGAAATAACTCCACTTTTACATATCAATGAAATTGATGAAGTTTCAAACTCTCTGTATAAAAATATTTCTCTTTCTACATATAAACATTTTTTCAGTCTTTTCTCGTTGTTATGAAAGGGCAAGAAGAGCCATAAAACCTCTATTTGAAACTTTTACTCAGTCATTTCCTTTAGAAAATATATATCAAAAGAAACTGAGAATTTAATACTTTCGTAAATCAATAAATAAACATATCTTCATTCAAAATATTTGATTGTCGACAAAACATACCAATTTCTTCTTGTAAGACAAGATTAAGGTTATCGATAGATATCAAACGTATATCTATCTAACTAGTGGTTGAATTTGACCAAAAAAAAAAAACTGGCTGAATGAACGTTAGAATCTAGAAACTGTAATTACAACTGTTGTCTCATTAAAATATATTACATAAGGGGATATGAAACGACATCACAATTGATCATCATCTGATGCTGAATTGGAAATAAATCTTAACATAAAATCAAAATTTAACTAATTCATATGATTTTTCTATTGATATTTCTCCTAAACTTGTACCATTCAAAGATAAATGATAAAATTCTAAACACGTAGTAATAAAATTAAACATTATTTCGAAAAATACAACATTTGATTTATTAATATGAAAAGTAACAAAAATATGTTGTAATGGATAATGAGAATATTCAAGAATTGATAAACATTTTCCTTCAACATATTTAACAAGTTCATTAAATAATCAATAAGAATCAATTTGAAAACAATATAGTAATGTTGACACAAAATATTCCAATTATATTTTGTAATTCATTTTCGATATCAATTAGCATTAAAACAAGAAATACATAAATTAATTTGACTATGAGTTAATTTAAATAGAAATGTATAAAATGTAACAAGATCTAATTGAAATGATGTGAAGATGTATAATCAATAAATAATGTCGAAATCTTCTTATCGAATGTAATTTGAACAAAAAAAAGCTAAGTTAGATCGTTGATCAGCAGATAAACGATACTAATCAATTGGCAATAATAATTACACATCCTTCTGAAAAAGCAAATAAATTAAAATCATTTGAGATTTATTTTATTGTTACACTAATCTTACGAGTATCATCAATTCGTAGAGTGATTATTGAAAAACTATTTATATTTATATTATTTATAATAACATATGAATCGAAATATTGTTGTATAATAATACCATTCGAATCAAGATAAAGTGGTTTGTTCGAAGAATATTGTTTTTCGTTAGAACAGCTTGAAATATGTGACACAATCGAATAATTGATAGATGATTAGTTGAAGATAAAATACGATAAAGTAATGGAATAACATAAATGTTATTATTATCTTTCGATAAAAATCAAATTTATTCTTGAACAAAAAAGTGCTCTAACTAAAAAGAAATGAAAGATTACAATTGATTATATTGAAAAAAGTTTATTTTGTTTACTTTGAACGAGATGCAATGATCATAGACATCTTCTGTCATATTCATAACTTGACGAATGAATTGAAGATGTTTGATAATTATTAGATATTAGAAATAATCAGTAATAGAAAGGATGTTTGTTTCTAAATGCAATGTGATCTTGTATATTTGATAGAGTTGTATAAGAAGTAATGAATGACCATTGAGAGTAAAGATATTTTTGTGAGAAGAAATTTAATTTTGTTGTAAAATATCACACCAAATCTGATGAATAGTAAATTCTATTTCACTTGTTAGAACTGAGAGTTGGTCGTCATTTATCTGGTATAATGATTATAGTTGAGAGAAGTCATGCAGAGGAAGTAGTTTTTGATCAACTTTTCCATTTTGATTTAATAGTAGTTTGTCAAATATAATGAATTTGGATGAAATCATATGAGATGATAAATCTGATTGACAATATTTATGTAATTGTTTATCATCAATATTTGAACTTTGAATATAAGCAATTAAATGATCATCTCTCTATTTAATAACAGCAGTAGTAATGGATGTATTCAGTAAAAATTGTTCAATTTCACCTAATTCAATTTATTGTCCATATAATTTGATTGATAATTTTTTCTTTCTCGATACTACAGAAGACCATTTTTATTCATTCGAACAAAATCATCTGTTCGATAGAATAATTTATCATTAATCTTAAAAAATGCTTTGTCTGTTAAATCATCATGTCGAAGATATCCAGCAAAGACACCTACATCTTTGATCGCTAGTTCACCTTGTTGACCTATGATAACAAATTGTAAAAATTCATCCAAAATGACACATAGATAATTTAATATTGGTACACTAATTGGAATGCTGTCTATACCAGCTATGATGTCGATGAGATGAAAAGTAGATGCTATGATCGTTTCAGCTGAACCATACAGATTGCATATATGACAATTTTTCCTGTGAATGTTTACAATCAAATCAAGTAATTTAATAGGAAAAGGTTCACCTACACAAAAATAAAAAAAAAACATTTGTCTAGGTGACAAAACATACTGAATAATCATTCACAAAACAAGTTGATGGAAAAATCAATGAGAATCTATTTGACATCGTAATGGAATAATATTCTCAAATATTCCAATTAATAATTTGAGTTTATCTTTGTATCAATAATGTGTTTTCATTCCAATATAAAGATTTTTTTCTTCATTTGATAATTTGAATAAAAACACATAATAACAAGGAAGTGTAAGATGTTCAAGTTTGATGCCGCTTGATAATGAATAAGTAAGAAATGTTTGTCAAAGATGTTCATCAAAATGAAAAGTAATAGATGTTCTAAGACCAGAATTATGTTTATTGTTAAGATGATATCAATGAAATAGTAATGATAGAGACTGATCAATCGATGATAAATCAAATGATATATGATGAATTTTGAAAATAATTCGATCTTTATGTTGAAGGGGATGATTTGAAGAAATTTATTTGTAAAATTATATTTATTCATTATCAACTTCACACATTGTAAGGAGAATTTCTTTCTCTCTAAAAAATCTTAGTATAAAACCAATTACACACGAAATAATATTTCACTGATAGGTGGTGCTATATATCCGTGTTCATATTATAGAGGTTATGTTACATGGTAAGAACCGAAAATGTGTTTACAATTCAGAATCACAATGTGATGATTTAGCATGGGGACAAATCTAGCAAAATCTGCTCGGTGCGACCGGAGAGTGTTCAGTATAACAGGCTGATCATCTAGGAGGGTGTTCAGTAAGAGAGGTTTTACTGTACTTTCAATAAATGTAAATAGTTTATTGTTGAAATTATCGTTAGAGTGAAGAATTCTGTATCTGAGTATATTTGTTGGTGTATTGAAGATCATTGATATACGAAATAATTGATTGATGTTTGATGATAACTTCGTGTAAAACTTGATAAAGTCGCTGAGTTGATAAAACATCAGCCGAACAAAATCGATAAACAAATGGCATGTTGTGGATTGATAATTGTAATTTGCTTCAACCGAAACGAGTTCATTCATTGAGCCAAATACGAGCTTGAGCATATGATGCTGCTCCTACAATAAAGAAAAATCAATCTTATAAGCGAATTGGCGATATTTTCTTTTGTATACCTGTTGATTAGATCAATTAAAAATCAAAAACCAATTAGGAAATCTCAGAGATTATTTGAGGATCACTTTGTCTAGGCAATTCCTTCGTTATCGTCCACAATATCACAACAGCAAGTTTTGGAGGAGTGAGTTTCGATAGGAGTACCTGTTCAAGGAAAGGAAGTTTCTCGAAAGCTTCTATCTGGCGTGCAACATTCGTATTACGCTCATAAGCAAAATGCTAGCATGCATCTAACTCCTCTACTATATAGGGTGTCCAGAAAGTCACTAGAGTCCAAAAAAAATTTAAATATCTCCTATCACGGCTGCACCAAAACGGGCTCAACTTGTAACCAAGAATCGAGGAATATTCCCATTCCAAATCCATACTAAACAGATTCGTGAGAACCTTGGTTAAATATCATTATCGATCATAACAAGAAAATTTTACTTTTTTTTACAAATCAATGAGAATAACAATATACTTAACAAACGTTCCCATCAACCTTGTTCGCATGTTTCCAGAATGTCAACATGCCTCTACTCTTGGCAAAAATGACAGATAGTTTCCTCCAGCCTTAATAGACTCATTCAATCTTCCCTTATATAATCAGACTTTTGCACTATCAGGTATATCATATTTTACTAATTGTCAAAAGCTAAAATTTAACAATAGAGCGCAATAGCACCAGCTACATAAAGTTCTAACCGACGTTGTCATAATGGATTTCCACGGAGAATAAGTCTCTATTCTTGGTTAAAAATTCAGCTCATTGAATCGAGCCGTCATCCATATAATCAAACTTATCCAACACCGATAATATTAGGGACACCCTACATAAGCACTCTTTTCGAACGACAAGATACTGCTTTAAGTTATCCGGAAAACAATCTGCGTACGAAGACACACCAAAACATCATTAAAAGAGAATAAATTCGTCGATATTATCCATAATTCCCTCCTAACTACTTGGCAAATACTATTTGCTAAAAAAGGGCAATTTCTTCGCTACCTATATAAGCAATTTTTTCGGTCGAGAAGATAGAGCTTGAAATTCTCTACAATCCTACGTAGGCGCTGAAGAGAGATGGATGATTACTGAAAAGTCCTAAGCTCCTAAACAGTACGGAAAATTCATCCGGAAGTGCTTGAGAAATAGTATTTGCTAAAAAAGAGCAATTTCTTTGCTACCTATATAAGCGATTTTTTCGGTCGAGAAGATAGAGCTTGAAATTCTCTACAATCCTAAGTAGGTGCTGAAGAGAGATGGATGATTACTGAAAAGTTACAAGCTCCTGAATAGTGCAAAAAATTCATCCCGAAGTGCTTCGGACGTAGTATTTACTAAAAAAGGGCATCGCGATTCGCTCGTGAGTGGCTCCAACAAAAACCAAATACACCAATCGATAGATCTTGACGAGCTCTATCCACTCCACACGTTATTTGTTCCCGTCACCACAACCAGTAATCAGGAAACCGACGCTAAGTTCTTTCATCTCAAGCACTGCACCTATTCGTCCACGAATTGGCTCCAACAAAACCAATGATAGCATTCGATAGATCTCGACGAGCTGTATCGATTCCACACCTTACTCATCCAATTCGAGCAAGTCATCGCCGAGAAAACTCCGAATTAGTTTTCTATGCATATATATACTGACAATGGAGGTACTTGTATTGTAACCGAGCTAGACTTGACATTTTAGCATCAAATGAAAGCTCTCACTGCCAAACTAACAAGGTTAAAATATTAGCGACCCTTGATTTACCGAGAGGGAGATATTCAATTTTTACGGTACTGATGATTGTGTATATAGGAACCTTAGAATTATTTACATTAATTTTTTATGCAATTAACTGAGTGTTTCAGTAGTAGACTTCGAGAATCTTCCTGAGATTTATCTATAGTATTAAGATCACATCGGTTTTAATCTCTTCCAAAAATTAAATAGCATCATTATAGATAAACATCAGCTAGGATTTATGAAAATCATGAATAGTTTCGTTTTTATTTCAACTGAAAACAATAGATCACAGTATATTATTTTATTAAATGTACTATAGGTGTAGATGTAAACCTTCAATCAAATGATAGTAATAAAGAGTTTTTTCACACCAAGCACATTTTAATAGTGTTCGTTCATTGCAATTGTTAATTGAACAATACAGATCATAAAATTTGAAGCAAACATCTTTTGGTTTTTCAATTTGCCCAATTCTTTCATTTGTTATTCGAGCTTGTATAAATCCATTCTTAATGAGATTTTTAAGTTGTGGAACTGGTAATTGATTATGAATAATAGAATGAATGTTGATGAAATATTGACGATCACTTATAGTCATTTCTGTTTGATTGATATGAACATAATGCTCAATCTTTTCATGAATAAATCGCCATGAGCGAAATAAAGAAAGATCTTGTGGTTGAATATAACCGGTTGATCCTTTAGGAAAAATCAATAATTGACTGTCTTGATTAGGAAATACTGCTCTAAATTTTGTTAGATCAGCTTGAGTTTTCCAAGAATCAAGAAAAAGAAGAAATTTATTACCAACCAAAGGACGCAGAACTTCATTTAAAAAAGTGTGATGTTTTTCACCACTATTTTTTCCTGATTTTGAAGCTCCTACTACAACATTTGATGGTACAATTAAATCTTTTTGCACTTTTTTACCGAATTCATTTCCTTTCTCTTGAAGGATGAGAAAGAATTTACCTAATAAACAGCCATCAGCTGATGTAACAGGCTGTACTGTATAAGAGTATGTTAAGTGATGTTTCTGTTTAACAACTACTTCTGTTGTTCGTTCACTACTAAAAGAAAGAGTTCTTGGTGAGACATATTCTTGTTGAAATGAACAGTGATCACTGTTTAAAATTTGATGAGTAGTATACTTTGATATTATAGTTCTTTTACTTTCAATCCAATTTTGGGCATCTAAAATATTAATGTATATTATATTAAGACATAAATTTAAAGTCAAAAAACAAAAATGACCATCTAAACTGCAGATTTTACTATTTGATATAGTTCGAGTAATAATTTTATTATACCTTCTTGGTGATATTCTGTTTTCCTTCTTGAAAGTATTGAGAAACTGTTTGCTTGCCTTGAATGTATCCCAATTCAATTCTCTTGCTTTTTGAATTGCATAAAGTTCAAGGTCAGTATCATGAACGGCTGCTTTTTCAATTGTTCTTTGTAGATAAAATTCGTATGACATAAATTCTTTAATTTGTTTTAATTTTTCTATTCTTGTCCCATTATTTTCGATATATTCTCTAAATTTTGTAATATAATTCCTGTGTTTGACCTTTTTAAAACGATGGGAAAGAGTTGCAAATCTAGTATTTGAATGTTGATCAACCCATTCGATTATTTTTTCCATTTCATCTAATGTAAAACGATTTCTCAGATCAGAATGTTCATTTTCATTGTAATCATCCATTTCATCGTCGCTCTTTGCTTCATCAATCGCTTCACCACTGTTGTCTTCCTCTTCAGTTGTTTCATCATATTCATCTTCGAATTCGAGAGAATCATAAATGTACAGCTCACTGAAGTAGCTATCTTTAAATGACTTCAAAACTTCGAATAATCGTTCTGCAATAAAAATTTCACCAGTAGTCATTGCACAATTTTCATATCCAAATTCAGTTTGAGCCAAATCAAGAAGATGTTTAGCGATGTTCAATAAATTCATGTTTTACTTTAAAGGAATAAAGCGCGCTACTTGGTAGATACAGCAAAGAGTGAAAGAGAATAATTCTTGGATAATATATTTCTTTATGATTTCTTAACACCAATTGCAAAGGAACGGTCAATAGGAACTATTCACATACTAAAGTTTTCTTTTTTTCTTTTTGAATTCCTCTTCTCTATACTAGGACAGGCGTTATTATCACTTGTAAGCAGGGCTGTCGCGACCGGAGGGCGCGGGCGGAGGGGTCACCCCCCCCAATCTTTAGAAATTTTCAAAAATTTTAAAGAGTTTTCGAAAAATTCTCCAAAATTTTTCCAAAAGTCGTCAATAATCCTGAAAAGTTTCTCAACAAATTTCAAAAACCTTCAAAATTTTTCAAAAATTGAAAAGAACTTTCTAAAATCCTTGAAAAATCTTCAAAATTTCTCCAAAACGTCCTTAAAAATTTTCACAAATTTTAAAGGATTTCCAACAAATTTTCTAAAAACCTGTGAAAAATCCCGAAAATCCTCAAAAATCTTCATAAATTTTAAAGAATCTCCAAAAAAATCTCTAAAAATCTCCAAAGGCTTCCAAACAATATCAAAAATCTTCAAAAACTTCAAAAAATTCTCAAAAATTTTACAGAATTTTCGAAAAATTTTCTAAGATCCTTCAAAAATCTTCTAAAAATTGTCAAGAATTCTGAAAATTTTCTCAACAAATTTCAAAAACCCTCAAAATTTTTAAAAAATTGAAAAGGATTTTCTAAAATCCTCATAAATGTTCAAAAATTTACAAAAATCGTCGAAAATCTCTAAAAATCTTCAAAAATTTTAAAGAAATTTCGAAAAACTTGGTAAAATCCTTCAAAAACGTTCGAAACGTCCAAAAATTTTTGGAAAACTGCAGAGCCTTTCAATAAATTTCTAAATCTTTTTTCTTTAGAATGCAGATAATCTATAAAAGTTTTCGAAAAATTTTCAAAAAATTTTCGTCCTCCCCCAATCTTCAACAGGTCGCGATAGCCCTGCTTGTAAGAAGTCATGCTTTGATCACTATTTACTGGGCGTCTGTGTCTCGATCGAACACTGCATAATATGTGAACAGCTCTTTAGACCATCAAGTGATGCATCAATGCACTTCAAATTCAAATATTATATGCATAACTCATTTTTTAAATATATCGCATAACTTTTCATTTCAATACTATTTAATTTTTAGAAGAGATTAAAACCAACATGATCTTAATACTATAGATAAATCTCAGAAATATTCTCGAAGTCTACTATTGAAACACTCAGTTAATTGCATAAAAAATTAATGTAAATAATTCTAAGGTTCCTATAAACTCAATCATCAGTACCGTAAAAATTGAATATCTCCCTCTAGGTAAATCAAGGGTCGCTAATATTTTAACCTTGTTAGTTTGGCAGTGAGAGCTTTCATTTGATGCTAAAATGTCAAGTCTAGCTCGGTTACAGTACAAGTACCTCCATTGTAAGTGATTACTTGATCGAAAATCGATGGTACCATATTTTTTAAACGGTATAGAGAGTTCTAATCCAATTAAGATTTCACGTTCATCGGTTATTCTTTATACGTCATTTATTGTCTATCATGGTGCCAATAAGTTGATTTTTTAATATTTAAAAATCCTGTTTTATCTAAGTACTTCTAAGTAGATTAATTACTTTTATAAGTATATATATAAAAAAGAAACAAAAATCGAGGGCACTTAGCATCTGTTTAATAGAAAAATGAATAAAGAATCTTCTGGTATTTATTCTTGATCCTATTATGATTTTGTCTCATATTTATACTACAAGTTCATTTTTTATTACTCTATTTATTCTAAAATTTTCAACCAAAAAATTTGTCTTTCGTATTCATATGTGGTAGAAAAAGAAATTGTTATACAAAGATTTTTGATTGAAATATTTTTATTTAAGAAATTTTGTTACACACAAAATAATACATGACTATTCAAAACATATGAATAAAAACATTGATAACACTGAAGTTGTTATACTTGAAAAATTCAAATTCAATTGCATATTAATATACTAGACAAATTTATAGTTCTAGAAAAATCAAAAAAAAAGAATAGTATGCATATTTTGTTCTTCTCACTAAATGATTAACATAAGGAAAAGAAAAAAAGATTATTTGTTAAAATAAAATGAATAGCAATCTTATTACTACACATAAATGAACAAGGGATTGAATAATCTTTTTTTGTAAAACACGATCTAAAAGGAGCGTTGAATCCAGCGATCCCTTGCCCTCTCACAAATTATGACAAACGTTGTTCATACATGAACTACTTCTTTACTGTATTTATCAAAATGTATCCCAAAATAGACAGAATAAAACCATCACTTTTCATGATTAGCAAGAGCAGCTACATCGTGTGTAACATTTTAATTCTGTAGAAATTGTATTAACAGCTTTTTTTCGTGAATTAAGTTTGAAAGTATTCGTTCAGTTTTTGTTACTATCGAACTTTCACAAAATTTTGTGTGATAAATATTCATTTTGCTTGATTTATGGCAAAAAATATGCAAAGAATTGACATAATTTTATTTATTGAAAATAATATTTTTAATTTAGAATTGATTCGTTATTATAGTTAATAGCATTGAATTTTTATGTTAAATTTGATAAAAAAGAAAAGAAATTAAAATATTAAACAAATCATACTTTTTTCAAAAATAAAAGTTGAACCATTTATTGAAATCACAATTAGTTCATTTTTTCCTCTAATTCAAAGATTTTTCAATAAGTACATGTGGATTAAGTTGTTTTTCTTTTTTCTTCTACTCTACGCAAACAAGCAATACGATGCTACGATGTATTTATCATGTTTCGTTCTTTAACACAACGTTGAGAAGTAAAAAAAGAAAAACAACACGCATGCAAAGGTAGAGGATGGTCGTAGAAAAAAATGCACGTAATGCAGCATGCTCTGTCTGCGCAAGCGATAAAAATATGTGTATTTGTTTAGTTATAAAATGAAGAACAAAAGCAGAGAAAAAGATTCAATATGCCCTTTCATTTTCAATAATATAAGTGTGCGTCGTGTGTCATGTTGTTGTTTTTTTCTTTTTAATGTGATTGTTATGAGACAATGTAATCTGCAATTTATACAGATTTCATCATATAAAACAGGTAAAGTTCTTGTTTTATTGACGAAAAATTAAAAGAATTCAATTTTGTAAAATAAATTATCAATAAGTAAAAGATAAGCGATGCGTGAATAAGATATTATGTCATAACAAACAACTGCAGATTATCGTTTAAATGATAATTGCATTTTTTCTATCCATTTGGATGTTAATTTGGATGTACATTTGGATGTACATTTTGATGTGCATTTTGATGTGCATTTGGATGCGCATTTGGATGTGCATTTGGATGCGCATTTGGATGTGCATTTGGATGCGCATTTGGATGTGCATTTGGATG